AGCCAAGCTGGGGCCACTAGAGCTCAGGGGAAGAGGAAGGAGACCTACAGAGTGCATGAAGGCGGGAGATGCCATGATGAGAGAAAAAAAAAACTGCTCCGACCATTTTGTGCCACAGCAGCTTTAAGGCTGGAGCTGCTGAGCGCACTGAGTAGGAGCAAAAGCTGCGGCTATGCCCTTTGGATGAAGTTTCTTGGAGGCGGCAGGGGAAAAGAGGGCCTTGGTGGCCCCCAGGGCAGCAAGACTACTAATAGGGTTCCCATGGACCCACATAGGAGCAAGGAGCCACAACAATTGAAAAAAAGGAGCCACTCAGAGGCCGGTGAGTCATCGCAAGGGACTGGTGCACAGCCTGTCCCATGGGAAGTGTTTGGAGAACAGATGGTAGGGGAGATGGGCCCTCCGGGGGAACACTGTGGCACTGCAAGGACAGCTGACCAGCACCCCAATCAGCAAAGGACCACTCAGAGACTGGTCAGGAAGATAGAATTACACGGGGGTGCAGTTTGATGAAAAGCCTCAGACCCACATCAGAGTTTCTACACAACCCAGGTGCAATAGGTCGCTGGAGAGTCAGAAGTACCTATAAAGTCAACCATTAAAACCTGAGCTGCACAAAAAGACTTCCCTAGAGAATGAGCAGCAAAGCAGCAATTTAGCTCAACCACAGAGTTCAAGTACTGGTCCCCACAGGAAGTTCCCCCATTTTAGAAATAAGCAAAGGACAAAATATTAGTTCTGGCCCAGGCACACCACCAGTGCCTCAGGCCCACCCAGGGACCTGAGGCATAGAGCCAGGGACCAGACCCCCCTCCCACAACCAGGCACACAGCAAGCACCAAGGAGCATGCCAAAACCATCACCTACATGTGGGTGGCCCACCACAACCACAATAACCACAGCTGCCACAAAAGCAGCTAGACACCACAACCACCATGCAGATGGTCCACCAGCTACTGGAGTGCATTGACACAAAGAGAGTCACCAGCAGAGACCAAAGAAAAGAAGAGGATGTCTCTCTCCACAAAGCCCATTCCAGAGTGACAGAAGAAGCATCTGCTCTACAATAATATTAGGGGACCTGAACACACCTCTCCACATTGGACAGATCATCTAGGCAACAAATCAATGGAGTAACCATTACTCTTTCAGAAGGAGAGAAGAAATCTAGGGTAATTATGGGGGAGGGGAGGGGGGAAGGGGTAGGGAGGAGGATGGGGAGAGACTGGACAAGGGGCATAAAGAATAAGTACAATTTGTAACAATACATATGCAAGTAATATTGATTTGATCAACATGTCAACCCTGAACCCCATAAATATGTATAATCAATTACAATTCAATAAAAATTTTTTTAAAAAAAGATTTTAGGAGCAAGATGACAACATAGTAGAGAAGAAAATGCAAATAAAATAAACACAGAGTGAAAAAAAGGCAAAATAATTACCAATATGGGCCAGCCCATGGCTCACTTGGGAGAGTTTGGTGCTGATAACACCAAGGCCACAGGTTCAGATCCCTATATAGGGATGCCCAGTTAGCTCACTTGGGAGAGTGTGGTGCTGACAACGCCAAGTCAAGGGTTAAGATCCCCTTACCTGGGCTGGCCCGTGGCTCACTCGGGAGAGAGTGGTGCTGATAACACCAAGGCCACGGGTTCGGATCCCATATAGGGATGGCTGATTAGCTCAATGGGTAAGCATGGTGCTGACAACACCAAGTCAAGGGTTAAGATCCCCTTGCCGGTCATCTTTTTAAAAATAAATAAATTAATTAATTAAAATTAAAATTAAAAAATAAATGTGAAAGTCAAAACTAAAAAGCTAATAGAAGATGCAGAAGTTCTTTATGACTACAAGACAGGGAATGACTTTGAAACAAGACCCCAAAAATAAAAACATTAAGGAAAAAATTGATTAATTTGATGCAAAAAATTAAAGGACATTACTGACAAAGTTAGCAGACAGGTGACACACCAGGCAAAGACATCTGCCACATAAAACTGACAAGAGGTTTCTATATCTAGAATATCAAAGAAACTTTGAAAATCAGAAAAGTAAAGATGGGAAATCCAATACAAAAATAAGCAATACATAAGAAATCAGAGAAGAGGAAATCCGAATGGGTAAAAAGTATCTCAAGAGATTAAATGATCAACCTCACTAGTGATCAGAGAAATGCAAATTAAACAAAGAGATACCACTTTACACCTATGGGACCAGCAGGTGTTAGGAAACAGGGAATGTCAAGCTGGTGACAATGTCAGGAAACACGAACCCTCATGTGCTACTGGTGAAGTGTACAACAGTGGTGCAGCCATTCCGGAGGAAGACCTGCAGCATTTAGAGAAAATGATGATATACGCACACCCTATAACAGAGCAATCCTACTCCTGAGCATCTAATCCAGAGAAAAGCTACAAGTCCTCAAGGTGACAGGTATGAGGGATGGCCACTGCAGTCATTTGTGCTACCAAAAACCTGGGCACAATACCCAGAAACAGACACAAAAGCAGACACTTGAAATATGACAAAGGTGGGTGGCTCTACAGGGCATGAGGAAAATGGTTTTTTTCAATAAATGAGGCTGAGACAAATGTATACCCACATGGAAAAACATGAAATTGGGCCCCTTCTTCGCACATACACAAACATCAACTACAGGAATGTTATAAGTGGGAACAGAACAATACACTTGTAGGGCAGGCCCGGTGGCGCACTGCTATAGTGCGCCGCTTGGGAAGCGCGGTGGTGCTCCCGCCAGAGGGTTCGGATCCCACATACAGACCGGCCGCTCACTGGCTGAGCGAGGGGCGGGAGCAACACCGAGGGTTGCGATCCCGTGGCCGGTCCCGGTCCGGTACAGGCGCGACACTGAGGGTTGCGATCCGTTGCCGGACACGAAAAAAGACAAAAAAAAGGAAAAAAAAAGAACAATACACTTGTAGAAGATTACATGGAAGAATATCTTTATGGCCTCAAAGAAGAAAAAGATTTCTTAAGACATTCAAAAGTACTAATTACAAAGGAAAAGATGATTATTTTGTCTACATTAAAATTAAAAACTTGTTACTCAAGACACCATAAAGAGAGTACAAAGCCACAGATGAGAAAATGTATGGAGAGCATATAATCAATGAAGGGCTTATGTCCAGAACATAGGGAATTCTACAAGTCATAAGAAAAAAACCACAACCAAATAGAAAAATGAGCAAAGGACTTAAACAAGCACTTCCTAAAAGAGGAAACCCAAAAGACTAATAAACACTGAATAGTGCTCAGACTCTTTAGTAATTACATAATTATGCATCAAATTAAAGCCATGATGAGATATCTTTACACACAAGTCTCACACAACCAAGTGTTGATAAGGATTTGGAGGAATGAGAACTCACATATTTCTGGTGGTAAACAATAAATTGGTACAATCACTATGGAAAATAGTCTGGCATCAGTATAGGTCAAAACACACAAACCCTAAGACCCAGCAATTCTACTCCTAGGAATGTATCTTAGGAAAACTCCTGCACATGTTGACCTGGATACCAAACAAGAATGTTCATAGGGGCATTGTTCCTATTACTGGAACTGGAAACAACCCAACTATCTATCTACAGGAGAATCAGAAAGATATTACAGTATGGTCATATAATGAATATACAGCATACATAGCAATGAAAAGAAAGAAATAGCTCCAAGACAATATGAATGAATTTTACTAACATAATGCTGAACAAAAACAGAAAGACACACAAAAAACAAAAATAGATATTTTATGGGCCGGCCCGTGGCTCACTCGGAAGAGTGTGGTGCTGATAACACCAAGGCCCCGGGTTCGGATCCCATATAGGGATGGCCGGTTGGCTCGCTGCCTGAGCATGGTGCTGACAACACCAAGCCAAGGGTTAAGATCCCCTTACCGGTCATCTTTTAAAAAAAAAAAAAAAGATATTTTATGATGCTGTTGATGTAAAGCTAAAAATGTTTATAAATGATTGGAGGAGTAGTAAGAAAAGCAAAAGCAGGAGAGTGACTACCTCTAGACCATAGGGAGGGGGATGTTGGAAAGAGTTACAAAGAGGTCTTCTGGGGGGTTGACAGTGCTCTATCTTTTGACATGAGCGGTTTTTATAAGGGTATTAGGTTTATATTTATTCATTATACTGTACGTTTATGTTTTATATACTTTTCTGTGTTTTATATTTGAATTTTTTAAAAACTAGGAAAAAGAAGTTGGAAACAATCTGGGTATTTATCACCCAGGAAGGTGTAGATAAATGTAGTCACTGCAAATAATAGGATACAATGCAAGAGTCAGAAGTAATAACACTATTTCCATTTACAGATACATGAAGAATTCTCAAAATCAAGGATTAGCAAAAGAATAGAAAAAGTTTAGAGCACAATGCTAGATATACGTAAGTTTTGTAAAAAAAAACCACACATATGAAACAAAGCTATGTATTTTTCAAGAATATACAGGAATCCAAATAAACCCATGGAAATGAATCAGAAAGGCATATATCAGAATCAGAGAGGCATAAATACACATAAGACACGTACAGGACAGGGTAGCTAATCAGATAGGAGCAGGTCTCAGCAAACTTTTTCTTAAAGGGCCAGATTATAAATATTTTAGGCGTTGTGAGCCATTAGGTCTTACGGCAACTACTCAGCTCTGCCACTGTAATTCAAAAGCATCAACAGACAATAAGAAAACCAGTGGGCTTAGTTGTACTCCAATAAAACAATATTGACAGGCACAGGGAGCAGGTCTGTGTTGCAGTTTGTCAAGCCCTGGAAAAGCAGTTTGGGTTAAGGGAAATGAATAAAGAGGGAAATAATAGAGAAAGGCCTTGCATGGACCAATGACAGAGGGTGCCTTGAAGTATTTCCTACTCAATTCTGGGGAAATAAATTCATTTATAATTAAGAGACAATCAAAGAAACAAATGACAAAAACAATACCTTTCTGTTGTTTTGATTTTCTTCTACACTTACCTCCTTGCTGTCTGTCACAGGAACCCACTTAAATATCCTAAGGGACGTGTCACCCACAGTCACCCACTTTTTCTCCCTAAAAGAAAGACACTTCTTAGAATTGATAAAACAGTTAAATAGATTTTCTGTCCATAACTTATGCTTTTCTACTTCTCAGCAGATTATTCCTTCAATCTAGAATGCCTCTTAAACTTCCTCTCTATCAAATTATACCTTACCTTTTGGTGCAAAATCATCCCTTCCAGAAAGACTTCCCTACCAAATTCCTTTGGCTCTGAACCCTCTACTAGCCACCTGTCCTCATGTACAGTGTACCAAAGCCTTTTTTTCTCACAGACTACACCAATATAGAGTACAAGCACATTTTCAAACCCAGGTATTACCTAACATCATTATTTTCCAAAATTAATTCAATTCTGCTAATATTTATACAGTCCTACAACAGAAGGCACTGCAGGAAGTAAAGGATGCATAAGATACAGTCCCTATCTTGGGCACTCATAAAGAATGAAGAATGTAAGGAAATCACTAACACATGAAGGTGGCAAGGAAGTTAAGAAGGCTGAAAGACAAAGACAAGGCTATCGCACGGAGAACAGAACTCCTATTACTCCTGTGGAATGGGGTGAAACATGACTCCACTTAAAAATAATCACAGGAGCAGGACAGGATGCTACTAGCTAACAAAGGTAAGCTTTACGCTGGCTTCTGGAGGAGGTAAAGGCTGAGCCATGAGAAGACTGCTTTAAGGTTTTACTTTACAGAGGAAGTAACATTTGGGATATGCCTTAAAAAAAAATGAGTAGTTTTCTGCCCCCAGGCACATACCTGAGGAAAGACAGAGTCATTCTAGAATAAAGGAGTATATTACAGACAAGCAGAAGTGGGTAGCTTGAAACTGTATTTGGGGAACAGCATGCAATCAAGTTGTGGGAGATAAGGCTGGAAGGTAGTTTAAGGCTGTTCTGGAGAAGGGATTAAAACTCAACCTGATAGTTGAGGAATACACAACATACACACATACACATACACAAACACACACACAGCACCATGTTGCACCATATTTTTTCCATTTGCATGTGAATTACTTTGCGTGCTTTTTCTCTTTATCAAAAGTGTATTTCTAATCATACTGTGGGAATGCAGATGTCACTTACTGGAGTATAATCTTCAGCGAAGTCTAGGAAGAGATCTACATTGGCAACCAACTGCCTAACCTCATCTCCTTTGCATCGAAAGCCTCAGAAGCCACTTATGGACTCAAACCATAAAATATAGCACTCGAAACAGCAATTCTAATCTGTCTGTAGCCATAGCACGCTGTTTGCTCACGGGTCCCTTCTGGCATACCACTTATTAAATGGCATGACAGTTTTTGCCTTTTACAGTGTTTCTGATCTATCAGTCAATTTACCAAATTATAACTTCAGTAAAGATGACAAGCTATTAATCTTCAAAATCTCTTATCACTCCATTACTACTAAATATACAGATAAGTAGAAATAAACTTATAGGACAGACTTTTTAATTAAAATAAATTTGAAAAAAGAATGTTCTGACAATTATAGAGATAATCTCTAAATCTCTCTAGGCTGATCTTGGACTGATTGTGCCTCCTCTCCCGTCTCCACTTAAGGGTCCCTCCAAGGAATAAACAGTACAAGAAAGACACACACGTGCTGCTGGGGGTAGGGAGTGGTAGGTGTGGAAGTGGTAGGATCCCATTTCATTTGGGGTTACCAAGACTACATAAAGAGGGCTGGCCCGTGGCTCACTCAGGAGAGTGTGGTGCTGATAACACCAAGGCCCTGGGTTCGGATCCCATATAGGGATGGCCGGTGTGCTCACCGGCTGAGTGTGGTGCTGACAACACCAAGTCAAGGGTTAAGATCACCTTATTGGTCATCTTTTAAAAAAAAAAAAAGACTACATAAAGAAAGAGAAAACTATTCTGAAGAAATTTTTAAATTTCAACCCCGAAGTTCAAAACTTTGTGAAAATCCTTTTGTCTCTCCTAAAAGGAAAAAAAAAAAAAAAAAAAAATCACTTTGGGCTGGCTGGTTACTCGGTTGATTAGAGCAGGGGGCTGATAAAACCAAGGTACGGGGTTCAATGCCTGTACCAACCAGCCACCAAAAAACAAAAACAAAAATTAAAAAAACCCTCTGATATTTGAAGTGAGAAAAACGAAACCACTCAGTGCAATGTGACGAATGCTTTGGGGAATAAGCAAGAGCCGAAGCAGGGAGCTTACTGGGAGGCTGGAGCAGATGAGAGGATGGTCCTCTGGCCTGGGGCGCTTGTGGGGGTGGCCAGAAATGGTGAAGAGAAAGGTGTGCCTATTCTTAGGTTTCACCAAAATCTAGCATGATGAAATGTGGAGGGGGTAACCATGAATTATTTAATTAATATTTATACTGAATTTCAACTATATACGAAGCCCCTGGATATGAGAAAAGAAACTTCCGTCCTGTGGGGAAATGGGCAAATAAACACGCAAAGTCCTCAGTACCAATGCCCCTACAGGGGTGGAGGGTGAGGAATGGAAGGCTTCCTGGAGCCCTACCTGGGCTTTCAAACTATTCATAGTAATCAGCGGGAGAAAAGGGCTCATGAAGTTGACTGTGAAAGCTTAATGTGATGATGCATGGGAGTTCCTGACTGAAAACAGGAGCTCAACCAGCGTCTTCAATGAACGTTACAGAAGCCGTTTCCCACCGACTCTACTGACAGCTCCCAAGGCACCAAGAGAAAATGCTAACCAAGGGGAAGAGAAAGGTTTCCGTTTCGATGACCACGCTCGCTCCCGTGGCAGGCAGATTCAACGAAAACTCTCACCAAACTTCCACGACTTACTACGTACAGCGCTCAGTCTGGCAGGCTGAAGCCATTCGACGACTGTTCGCTATTATCATGGGGTAGTTCAGAAACGCAGGAGGGGATGCAGCCCCGCAAAGCAGGAGCGCTGGTCCCCGGGAGCGCCAGGTACAGGTGGGCAGACGGCTGCCCCCAGCCTGGAGCGCGGCCGGAAGCCTGCAGCCACGCCCGGGAGGCGGGCGGCCGCGGCAGGTGGGCGGGCCCGCGAGCCGGGCGACCCGCTGATTGGCCACGGCCGGCGCGCCCTCTCACCTCACGGTTCTCATTCCCAGCTTACACACAAGCCACAAGAAACATACGGTCATGCATCACTCAACAATGGTGATACGTTCTGAGAAAGTTGCTATTTCTAGGTTAAACAAGCCTGCAAAGCATTTTATATCACTATATAGTTTGATATGGCATAGTGGTTTTACATTCCCAAGCTTGTCAGCCCTACAGAACATGTTCACTTGTGCATCCATCATTCCTGATCTGAAATAAGGGAGAAGGCAGAGGCTCTTCTAGAACTCACCACCAGTTACCACCTAGGACTGAGCCATACATGGTTCTGCTGACCATTTACTTCACTGTACCTGAAATGGCTATTTCTAGACATGAATTACTGACTGTGGTGCATCTACATACTAAGTCAGAGGACACTGGCCATGTAACATCAGAATACAAGCAAAAATGTCTGACCCGCCCACACACTCCCATTATTCACTGAATTCTCCAAGACCTGTGTTCACTAACAGCTTTGAGAAAATTCCCCTCTTGGGGTCTGGGAGCCCCTGGTACAAACATGGTATGATTTTTTTTTCCTTCTCTGGGAAGGAGAGAGATTAACAGACAGAAACTATTGTTCTTGGGGCCAGCCCAGTGGCGCACTCTCCAGTGCGCCGCTTGGGACACCCCTTGGGGCTGGAGGCCTCAGCGCGCCTGCGCACCCCGCCCCGGGCGTCCCTCCCGAGCGCCACGGGAGTCTCCTGGGCCGTCGCTCCGGCCGGAGTGAGCGGCCGGCAGGCGGCGCGTGCTGAGAGCAGGGCGAGGTGCGAGGCGCTGCCGCTAGGGTTCTCAGTTCTTTCCCAGGGGGTTAGGAGGTCGGCACCTTCCAGCTATGGCCAGAATCGTTGCAACAACACAGTTTATGGAGTTGACCTGCTGCCTCTCATGTCTAGCGCCCTTGCTCCCCAGATAGACTGTTGTGTTTTAACCACAGGGAATTTTACACCATTCTTCAGGATGCCTTCAGGCCTTTGCATACACGTTTCCCACCTGGAGTTCTCTGTTATCTCTCCACCTGATGAACTAACTACTTTTCCAACATCCAGTTCAAACTCTGGCCTTTCGGGTTCCATCCTTGTTCTTACTTAGCACTGTACTTCACTGTCTCATTTAATTCAGCGACTGTTAATGAAACAATGCTTATTTGCAAGGCTTGGTTCTTGATGCAAGGCTCTGTACCAAGAGTTCAGGACGTGAATGTTTTTGCATTCAAAGAACTTTCAGTTTTGTAGAACATGCAGACCAGAGAACGGGTATTTAAAATGCCATTTGATGAATGCTAGGCTGAGAGAAGTACAAGATGCTATAACAACCTTAAGGTAGAAAAAGTACCCTTGAGGGCCGGCCCCGTGGCTCACTCGGTAGAGTGCGGTGCTGATAACACCAAGGCCACCGGTTGGGATCCGATATAGGGATGGCCGGTTCGCTCACTGGCTGAGCGTGGTGCTGACAACACCAAGCCAAGGGTTGAGATCCCCTTACTGGTCATCTTTTAAAAAAAAAAAAAAAGAAAAAGTACCCTTGAGCTGACCTCTGAAAATAGGGTAGATGCTGTTGCTCCAAGGCCTGTGTCCACAGACTCTACAGATGCTCAATAAATGTTTGGGTGGGGGCCGGCCCGGTGGCGCACTGCTATAGTGCGCCGCTTGGGAAGCGCAGTGGCGCTCCCGCCAAGGGTTCGGATCCCACACACAGACCGGCCGCTCACTGGCTGAGCGAGGGGCGGGAGCAACACCGAGGGTTGCGATCCAACACCGAGGGTTGCGATCCCGTGGCCGGTCCCGGTCCGGTACGGGCGTTGCCGGTCACGAAAAAAGACAAAAAGGAAATAAATAAATAAATAAATAAATAAATGTTTGGGTGAATGTTGAATCATCAGGGCAGCTGCCTTGCTCTTTGTTCCTGCCCACTTGAAGGCAGGCATTTATTGATGCCTCCAGTATGGAGGGAGGGTCCTATAGCAGCTGTTTCAGGGGACATACAGGAAGCAGATTGGTTGTGGCTGCTTCTCTCTCCTCTAGATACACCTCCTTCTGTATACCCCAGAGAAATGCCTAGCCAACCCTGAACTTGACAACAGTCTCAGATAATGACTGTCAGCCTTCCATGATCCACCAACATCATGGCTTGATAAGTATATGTTGTCTTGCTTGTGAGGGGGGCAGGAATAGCTTCTGTCTGACTGAGGTGTTAAAGAGGTGAACCTGCATATGGAGGGAAAGGAAGATTCTAGAAATAATGGGATCTGTTTCTCAAGCCCAACTGAGAACTTGCTGTATGCCCTACAGGGGCGGACGCTCGGTGACAAAGATGACTAAGACACACTCCCTGCCCTTGAGGCAAAGATGAGGAAAGCAATGGGAAAATGAGACACATAACAGAACATGACAAGTGCCATGAGAGAGGCCAGCTCTTGAGACTTCTGCAGTTCTGATCATGGTCCCCCTGGTTCAGGTACACAGCTCAACTTATGTCCAACTTCTCTCTATCCCCTGTCAAAGTCCTATCTGGCCTCCCCCTGAGGTTCTCACCTATAGCTTCTCACTGCTCCACAGCCCATTGCTCCTCCCAGCCACACTAGCCTCCTGCATCCATCTGTCCTCCAGCCCACCCTGCCAGTAAGTCATCTTCCTCGAGCAACCGCCTGCCCTGAAGTCCCAGGGATCCCCCATTTCCTCCCCATATTTGTCCACTGGGCCTACATTTCCCACCTCATCTCCCACTGGAGTGATATGGGGAAGGCTTTAGGGAAGGGGAGGCACTGAGGTTGGGTATTCATTCATTTGATGAATTTTTTTTATTTTTTCAAAAGATGACTGGTAAGGGGATCTTAACCCTTGGCTTGGTGTTGTCAGCACCACACTCAGCCAGTGAGCTAACCGGCCATCCCTATATAGGATCTGAACCCATGGCCTTGGTGTTATCAGCACCGCACTCTCCTGAGTGAGCCACAGGCCAGCCCTCATTTAATGAATATTTAATGAGCACCTACTGAATGCCAGGTTTTGTTCTGGGTGCCAAAGATATTCAGTGAACAAAACAAAATGGACCTTCATAGAGCTATGTAAAAGAGATAAATAACAAGCAAGATAGCCAAGTAGGGCCGGCCCGGTGGCGCACTGCTACAGTGCGCCGCTTGGGAGCGTGGCGGCGCTCCCGCCGAGGGTTTGGATCCCACATACAGACTGGCCAGCTCACTGGCTGAGTGAGGTGCGGGTGCAACACCGAAGGTTGCGATCCCGTTGCCGGTCCCGGTCCGGTTCGGGCGTGACACTGAGGGTTGCGATCCGTAGCCAGTCACGAAAAAAGACAAAAAAGGAAAAAAAAAAAAAAAGATAGCCAAGTAAAGTAGTATCTCAAGTGGTGACGAATGCTCTGGAGAAAAATTAACTGGGGAAGGAGCGTATGGAGTGTGTGTGGGGACAGATATTGCAGTCTTAGGCTGGCCAGAGAGGGCTGCATTGAGAAGATAACATTTGAGGAAAGACCTTAAGGAGGTGAGGGAGTGAGCCATGTAAAAATATGAGGGATAGGTATTCCAGGTGGATGGACCTAAAATGAAAAGGCCCTGAGGCAGGAGTTGACTGAGTGTCTTCAGATGGGCAAGGAGGCAAGTGTAGTTGGACCAGAGATAGCAAAGGGTGGAATTGTAGGAGGTGAGGTCAGAGAATTAATGTGAGGATGTGTGTGGGACGTTGTAGGCCACTGTAGCTTTTACTTTGAGTGAGAAGCAAAGCCATTGTCTTAAGTGCAAGTTGCCCAAGGCAGAGATGTGGGCTGCCCCCTATCCTGTTAGCATGGGCTTTCCACCTAGGAAATGTCAAAGTGTTATTTTTTTTTTAAAAAAAAAAAAAAAAGGAAAGGTGTCAACAGAAGGCATTTGTGTAGCCTGGAAAAAGTAGATGGTAGGTACCTATTTTTCTTTTTGCAGCTGGCCAGTACAGGTATCGAACCCTGGACTGATGTCCACTTTGATCACTCTCCTTAAGTTAATCAAAGTTTCAAATTCTTTTACTTGTTCATTTGCTCTTTACCATCTGCTGCTCCCTAAAATGTCAGCCCTATGTGAGTAGGGACCCTGTCGTCACGTTCACCATTGTATCCCTTCATGCCTTAGCACAGCCCTTGGCTCAGAGGAGGTGCTTTAAAAAAGTTATTGAGGCCAGCCCGGTGGCGCACTGCTACAGTGCGCTGCTTGGGAGCGCAGTGGCGCTCCCGTCGAGGGTTCGGATCCCACATACAGACCGGTTCCTGCTCACTGGCTGAGCGAGGTGCGGGCGCAGCACCAAGGGTTGCGATCCCGTTGCTGGTCCCGGTCTGGTACGGGCGCGACACTGAGGGTTGTGATCCATTGCCGGACACGAAAAAAGACAAAAAGGAAAAAAAAAAAAGTTATTGAGTGAATGAACACTGTTCTTTCCCAAAGGCTCTCTTTCATGCCCACCATCAGCTGTTTTGTCCCTTTCTGCCCTGTGCACATTATCTTTAAATCATACCACTTTGTCAGAGCAATTTAGCTCTATTGCAACATGCACAGTGCCCTTCCAACCAGCACACATATGAAGGTACTTCAGAAAGTCTGCAGCGGGCTGGCTGTTTAAATCACACAGTTATAGTGTGGTGCTGATAACACAGGGCTCAGATCCCCATGCCAGCCATCTGCCCCCCAAAAAAAGTCTGTGGAAAATAGAATTGAAAGATAATATGAATCTTTCCCATGAACTTTTTTTTTTGTGGCCGGACGACC